ACAGGCTCCAGGCTCTGAGCCATCAGCCCAGAGCCTGACGCGGGGCTCGAACTCACGGAGTGCGAGATCGCGACCTGGCTGAAGTCGGACGCTTAACCGACTGCGCCACCCAGGCGCCCCTGTTTTTATTTATTTTTGAGACAGAGAGAGACAGAGCATGAACAGGGGAGGGGCAGAAAGAGAGGGAGACACAGAATCCAAAGCAGGCTCCAGGCTCTGAGCTGCCAGCAGAGCCAGACGTGGGGCCCAAACTCACAGAGTGGGAGATCATGACCTGAGCTGAAGTTGGACGCTTAACCGACTGAGCCACCCGGGTGCCCCTCTTTTTCCTTTTTTTAAAATTGAAATATAGGGGGCGCCTGGGTGGCACAGTCGGTTAAGCCTCCGACTTCAGCCAGGTCACGATCTCGCGGTCCGTGAGTTCGAGCCCCGCGTCGGGCTCTGGGCTGATGGCTCAGAGCCTGGAGCCTGTTTCCGATTCTGTGTCTCCCTCTCTCTCTGCCCCTCCCCCATTCATGGTCTGTCTCTCTCTGTCCCAAAAATAAACGTTGGGAAAAAAAAAATTAAAATAAATAAATAAATAAATAAATAAATAAAATTGAAATATAGGGGCGCCTGGGTGGCTCAGTCGGTTAAGCGGCCAACTTCGGCTCAGGTCATGATCTCGCGGTCAGTGAGTTCAAGCCCCGTGTTGGGCTCTGTGCTGACAGCTCAGAGCCTGGAGCCTGTTTCAGATTCTGTGTCTCCCTCTCTCTCTCTGACTCTCCCCCTTTCATGCTCTGTCTCTATCTCAAAAATAAATAAACGTTAAAAAAAAATTAAAAAAAAAATAAAATAAAATAAAATAAAACTGAAGTATAGTTAACATACAGTGTCACATTAGTTTCAAGTATACAACGTAGTGATCTGACAACTCTATACTATGCTAAGCTCACCACAGGTATAGCTACCATCTGACACCATACAACACTATTATAATACCACTGACTATATTCCCTACGCTGTACCTTTTATTCCTGTGATTTATTCCATAACTGGAAGCCTGCACCTCCCATTCACCTTCATCCATTTGCCTATCCCTACTCCTCCCTTCTGGGAGCCATCAATTTGTTCTCTGTATTTATGGGTCTGTTTCTGCTTTTTGTTTATTTTTGTTTTTTAGATCCCACATATAAATGAAATCATAGCATACTTGTCTTTCTCTGTAGGACTTATTTCATTCAGCATAGTACCCTTTAGGTCCCACCATATTGCTGCAAACAGGAAGATCTTAAAGTCTGAGTAATATTCCACTGTGTGTGTGTGTGTATATACATATACACACACACACACACACGCACACACACATATACATACTACATCCACTTTATCCATTCATGTATGGATGGACACCTGGGTTGCTTCCATATCTTGGCTATTGCAAATAATGCTGCAATAAACATTGGGGTGCATATATTTTTTCAAGTTAGTAGGGTTTTTTTGTTTTGTTTTCTTTGGGTAAATACCCAGTAGTGGAATTACTGAATCATATGGCATTTCTATTTTCAATTTTTGATGAACCTCTATACTGTTTTCCACAGCATCTGCACTAATTTACATTCCTACCAACAGGGCAGGAGGGTTCCTTTTTCTCCACATCCTCACCAACACTTGTTACTATTATTTTTTAAGATTTTATTTTTAAGCAATCTCTACACCTAACGTGGGGCTCGAATTAACAACTGTGAGAACAAAAGTTACATGCTCCCCTGACTGAGCCTGCCAGGCTCCCCTATTTCTTTTCTTCCTTTTTAAGTTTATTTTGAGAGGGAGAGACAGAGCAAGTGCAAGCAGAGGGGGGCAGAGAAAGAATTGGGGCTCAATCCCACCAACAGTGAGATCATACCCTAAGCCAAAATCAAGAGTCAGATGAGTCCCTCTTATGTTTTTAATTTTAGCCATTCTGACAAGTGGGAGATGCTGTATCATTGTGGTTTTGATTTGCATTTCCCTGATTAGTCATTTGAGCACATTTTCATGTATGTTTGCCATATGTATGTCTTCTTTTGAGATGACCATTTATTCTTTTTGATGTTTATTTTTGAGAGGGAGAGACAGAGAGAGAGAGAGAGAGAGAGAGAGAGAGAGAGAGAGAGTGCAAGCAGGGGAGGGGCAGAGAGAGGAGACACAGAACCTGAAGCAGGCTCCTGGCTCTGTGCTGATAGCACACAAACCATGAGATCATGACCTGGGCTAAAGTCAGAAGCTTAACCCACTGAGCTACCCATGTGCCCCAGCGGAGATGACCATTTGTTCTGGATTATTTCAGGTGCAGATCTCTTAGATGGCAGGTTCAGCATAATGCGTGTCTATGATAATGCTAAATATCAGAATGACCTGAATGCAAACATTCATAATTTATGAAAAAGATGAAACTGCAGAGTAATAAAGGATGGTCTTTTCTTTTCCTTTTTTTAGGTTTATTCATTTATTTTGAAAGAGAGCTCACAAGTAGGGGAGGGGAAGAGAGGGAGGGACAGAGAGAAACCCAAGCAGGCCTAAGCCCAACATAGAGCTCAAAGTGGGACTTACAACTGTGAGATCAGGACCTGAGCTGAAATCAAGAGTGGGATGCTTATGGGGCACTTGGGTGGCTTAGTTGGTTAAGCATCCGACTTCAGCTCAGGTCATGATCTCATGGTTCGTGGGTTCAAACCCCACGTCAGGCTCTGTGCTGACAACTCAGATTCTTTGTCTCCCTCCCTCTCTGCACCTCCCCTGTTTGCACTCTCTCTCGCTCTCAAAAATAAACAAACATTAAAAAAAATTAAAAACCAACCAACAAAAAAAGAGTGGGATGCTTAACTGACTGAGCCACCCAGGTGCTACAAGAGTCCAATGCTTAACTGACTGAGCCACACAAGTGCCCCAGGATGGACTTTTCTTTTTTTTTTTTAATTTTTTTTAAACGTTTATTTATTTTTGAGACAGAGACAGAGCATGAATGGGGGAGGGGCAGAGAGAGAGGGAGACACAGAATCGGAAGCAGGCTCCAGGCTCTGAAGCATCAGCCCAGAGCCCCACGCGGGGCTCGAACTCACAGATCGCGAGATCGTGACCTGAGCTGAAGTCGGACGCTTAACCGACTGCGCCACCCAAGGGCCCCAGGATGGACTTTTCAATAAACAGTGCTGGGTTAATGGGAGAGCCTTACAGAATAAGAAAAACACATACTCAATTTCCAATTTCATGTAAGAGGTAAAACAAAGCTTTTGGAATACAGGCAGATATCTTCAAGACTTTGGGATAAGGATTTATTAAAATTTATTTTTATTTTTGAAAGAGCAAAAGTGAGGGAGGGGCAAAGGGAGGGGGACAGAGGATCTGAAGTGGGCTTTGTGCTGACAGCAGCGAGCCGGATGTGGGGCTTGAACTCACAAACTGTGAGATCATGACCTGATCCTAAGTCTGTTGCTCAACTGATTGAGCCACCCAGGTGCCCCAGGATAAAGATTTGTTAAACCGGATATATAAAGCAATAACCAAAAAAGTAAAGGCTGAAAAACTGGACATTTAATCTTAAGACTCTATCAAAAGATACTATTTAAAAAATGAAAAGTCAAAAGAAAGAAAGAAAGAAAGAAAGAAAGAAAGAAAGAAAGAAAGAAAGAAAGAGAAAAAAAAAAAAATGAAAAGTCGTGGGCCCCTGGTGGCTGAGTCAGTTAAGTTTCAGACTCTTGATTTCAGCTCAGGTCACAATCTCACAGTTTGGGAGATCAAGCCCGCGTCGGGATTCTCTTGGAATCCTCTCTCTGCCCCATTCCTACTCTCTCTGTCTCAATATAAATAAACGTCTAAAAAAAAAAAAAAAAAAAAAGTCAGGGGTGCCTGTGTGGTTCAGTCAGTTAAGCTTTGGACTCTTGATCTCAGCTCAGGTCATGATCTCATGCTTCCATGAGATCAAGCACGGAACCTGTTTAGGATTCTCTCTCTTTCTCTCTCCCCCTCCCTCATTCACATGCATATATGCATGTGCTCTCTCTCAAATAAAATAAACTAAAAAAGAAAAGAAAAAGAAAATGTAAAGTCAAACTATAGTTAGGGGACAAAATATTTACCACCTATACAATCAAGAACTGATCGTTAGAATACATAAAGAACTTCAAATCAGCAAGACAGACAACCCAATAGAAAAAGACAAGATATCTGAACAAGCACTTCACGAAAGAAGATATCCAAATAGCCAATAAACATAGGAACTAACGCTTAATCTTATTAATAATCAGGAAAATTAAAATCCAAACCATGAGATATTAGTATATGGCACCAGAATAGGTAAGATTAAATAGACTGAAAATATCAAGAGTTGGCAAGCACGTGAAACAACTAAATACTCCTACACTACTGGTTTGAATGTAAATTGGTACAACTTTAGAAAACTAACATTAAATGTGAAAGCTGAATATAGAAAATGCTATGAACCAGGAATTTCAATACTCTGTACTAATCAACTGAAAAGCATACATGCGTGCACCAAAATGTACACAGGAAATGTTCTCAAGCAGCCTTTCTCATTAAAACAGCCCAAAACTGGGGCACCTGGGTGGCTCAGTCGGTTAGGCATCCAACTCCGGCTCAGGTCATGATCTCTCAAAGCTCCTGAGTTGGAGCCCCTACTACGGCTCTCTGTTGTCAGCAGGAGCCTGGAGCCTGCTTCACGGTGGGTGGGTGTGTGTGTGTGTGTGTGTGTGTGTGTGTGTGTGTGTGTGTGTCTGTCTAAAATAAATATTAATTTTTTTAATTATAAAAAGACAAAGAAAAGAAAAATAAAAAGCCAAAAACTGGAAACAACCCAAATGTACACCATGGGCAGAATGAATAAGGAATTCAATATAGCAACAGGAAAGAACTATTGCCTTATGCAAACATATATATAAACCGATAGAATGTTGAAGAAAACCAGACACACGAAAATATAAACAGCATTACTCATAAAAAATTCAGAGAGGCAAATTTAGTTAATGGTATTAAAAGTCAATATAGTGGTTACCTTTGAAGAGAAAAGGAGACATACTAGAGGGGTAACAGGAAAAGCTTTGGGGGTGCTGACAACATTCTAGTTATTGACCTGAGTGGGGACTACACACGTATATTCTTTTTGAAATAATTCACAGAGCTGTGTACACTTTGGATTTGTGCATTCTTCGATAAGCATGTTACACTTCACTTTACAAGGTAAAAAACCTCACTACAGACCATTCCCTAGGCATCGCGTGAACGGCCTTCCATTAGGTAATGAAAACACCTTTTTGGAAACTGGAGGCTGGTACTTTGTAAGTAAAATACGGTATCATGGAAAGAGGACTGACCAGAGATCCGGAACCGCTGGCCCGGACAGAAACAGCTGTGACATTTAATCACTACACCTCTCTGGATCTCGGCTTTCTTGCCCCCCCCCACCCCCATAAAATGGGTGTTAGAAACGAAGGCCTCTAAAAGGTCCCCCGCTCCCAGCTCTGGAGCCTGGGGTCCGCCACCATTTTCGCCACAACAAGCTCTGACGGTGGGTTGGGCCCGGGCATGCCCCTGCTCCACCCCGCCAACTCCGCTTTCTCACTTGGCCCCACGAGCCCGCCAGGCCCGGGGCCGGCTACGGTCGGGACTTACCCTGAGGCAAAAAGGAACCGAGTCCGCGCCTAACACCCTCACCCTGGTACGCAGCGCTTCTTGCTCCCACTGGCTGCGCGCCCCGACTTCTGTCCGCTGGCTCGGTCCGCGCCCGGCCGGGACGGACTCCAGACCCCTTTGCTTCCTGCCCACTTCTCTACTCCCTTGCTCCGGCCTTCTGCACACAACCCAGGCGAAACTCAGCTCCCAACTGCGTCCCTCCGGGTGCGTCTCCGCTCTTCTCAGACCTCGATTTCAGGCCAGGGCGCGCGCGGAGCACTGCAACTTTCGGAGATCCCGCCAAATTCTCGGGCTGGGTCACGCCAGCGTCAACGTAACGTCTCCCCGCCCTCCTCGGCTCTGCCTTCCAGCCCCTTCGGACGCTGCTCCCGATCCTAGAGATGAGCCTAGAGAACTTAACCTTGCATGATGTTATGAACTTCCCTCTTCCATTTACCTCTGAAAACTAACTCAAAGTTTGGGAGTCGCCCCCTTCTTTTCTTTTACCAGACCGAGGACTACAACTCCCAGGAGGTAGTGGGGCTGTCCGGAGACTCCATCTCCCAGTATGCACCGCCGGCGCACGCCTGTTTTAGTGCCTCAGCCCCTCTAGGGAGAAGCCTGGCCACAGAGAGCTATTCTTGATTTGCTTGTGAAGTATCTAAACCTGAGCGTTAGGCACTTGAGATTGCTGTGAACTTCTGACTCAAATTCCCGGAGCCTGGCGTTTTCCAGGCCCGTGGAGGTGGTGCGGCTGAGGATGCTCGAGTGGACAGGTGGAAGTAGAAAACTAAGCTACCGAAGGGAAGAAAAATGGTTGAAATATTAGTCAAGCCTTGGTATTTTACTGGAGATTTGCAAGACTCCAGAGGAAGGAGGCATTGATTTTGAGAAGATAAACTTTATCATGGTTTACTGGAAAGATTGACCTGTGATTCTGGTTTTAAAGAGTGAATGGAGTTTCCTGGACCAAGAAGAGGAGATGAAAGAAGCAAGGATATCAATTTGGGCGTGGAAATTAACGACATGGTCAAGGAATAGTATTGTCTGGTGAGGGAAGAAAAGTATCGTGGAGTCGCTGATACTGGAAAGTTAACGTTTAGTTCGGGTTATGAGGGAACTTAAGGACATGTCTGGAACTTTTTGGTCTTTATTCTATAGTTGATGAGGAAGTCATTTAAAGTTTTTGAGCAGACGAGTCCTATGTTGTTTTTCTTCCTGCCCCCCCCCACTACAACTTTATTTATATCTGTTTCCCTCCCCCCACTATTAGTTTATATTTGTGGAGTGCTTTAAAGTTCATAAAGTTTTTATTTAATCCTCTCATCATTGTGGCAGTGAAGGAGAGATTTTAGGGAAGGACAGCAAAAACTGTTAGCTCTTGCAGTATTTCAGACAAGTGATGAAGTCTTGCTTGAGTTGGAGCAATGACAGACTCAAGAAGCATTCTGGAGATAGAATCAACCCAACTATGTGATTACAGATAGTACCTGGAGATAGTAGTGAAGTGCCTTCCATACCAGAGATACCCACCTTTACCTCTCATTCTTCACACATCTTCCTTAGAACATCTGCAAACCCACAGCCCCTCTTGGCTGAATGAAATAATATGTGACTTTGACCTTTCATTAAAATCCAATTCCTGTGGCTGTGTGGATGTCAAACCAGAGAAACCCCATCTGTAGAAAGATTAAAAAATTGAGAGACTGAGAAAGTAAGACAGAAACAATTCTGAAATCTGACCGCTTTCCAGATATTTCCAACTTCTCAGGGTCCCAGAAGCACTATGAGATACTTCTATGTTCCAATAAATGTCCCTTCCATTTCTTCTGCTTAAACCAGTTTGAGTAGTTTTCTGTTTCTTTCTTCCAAGACAACCCACTACACACTTATAAATAAGAAAGCTAGATTTATTGCTAACAGTTTAAGCAATCCATGTGAATATTTATAAATGTGTGATTGAAAAATTTTGGGTAGGGGCACCTGGGTGGCTCAGTAGGTTGAGTAACCAACTTTGGCTCAGGTCATGATCTCACGATTTGTTAAGTTCGAGTCCTGCGTTGGGGTCTGTGCTGACAGCTCAGAGCCTGGAGCCTGCTTCTGATTCTTCCTCTCTCTCTGCCCCTCCCCCACTCATGCTCTGTCTCTCTCTGTCTCAGAAATAAACATTAAAAAAAAAAGTTTTGGATATAGGGGTGGCTTGGTCGGTTAAGTGTCCAACTTCGGCTCAGATCATGATCTCACAGTTCATGAGTTCAAGCCCCATGTCGTTCTCTGTACTGACAGTTCAGGGCCTGGAGCCTGCTTCAGATTCTGTCTCCCCCTCTCTCTGTCCCTCCCATGCTCATGCTCTGTCTCCCTCTGTCTCTCAGTAATGAATACACTTTAAAAAAAATTAAAGAAAAGAAAAATTTTGGATATATCCTAAATTACAATCTGAATGACCTATCTGAAATCTCAAGGAAGTAACCTCTAGTAAAACCAAAATTTAATCATCAGAAACATAATCTTTTGTCTCAAGGAAAATAATCTCATGGCATAGGCAGCCTGGAGCATAGAAAGGGAAATCCACTGTCATGTCCAAATGATCCAATTGAGTAGTACAAGGATGATCCAATATTATGAAATCTATTATAATTGACCATATTAATAGGTCAAGGAGAAAACTTATTTTGTTAATTTCATCATTTTGAAAAAGCATTCAATAAAATTCAACATAAATTCCTGATTAAGAGGAGGAAAAGGTAAAAAGTAGTTAGAGGGGCACTGGGGTGACTCAGTCAGTTAAGCGACTGACTTCAGCTCAGGTCATGATCTCACAGTTCATGGATTTGGGTTCCAGCCCTGCGTCAGGTTCTGTGCTGACAGCTCAGAGCCTGAAACCTGCTTTGGATTCTGTGTCTCCCTCTGTTTCTGCCCTCCCCCACTTCCACTCTCTCTCAAAAATAAAACATTTTAAAAAATGAATAAAAAGGAATTAAATGTTTTCTTAGCATGATCAGGAAAAAAAACATGGATATTCCAAGCAAGCTACCATTGTCTGCTTACTGGTAAATTGTTAGAAATACTTTGATTAAAATCAAGAACAGGGATACCTTTGCTGGCTCAGTAGGAGGAGGATGTGACTCTTGATCTTGTGAGTTCAAGCCCCACTTTGGGTGTAAAGATTACTTAAATATCAATCTGGGGCACCTGGATGGCTCAGTTGGTTAAGTGTCCAACTCTTGATTTTGGCTCAGATCATGATCTCACCATAGTGAGATTGAGCCCCTCATTATGCTCCATGCAGGGTGTAGAACCTTCTTGGGATTTCTTCTCTCCCTCTCCATCTGCCCCTCCCCTGCTGGTGTGCTCTCTATCTCTAGGTCTCAAAAAAAAAAAAAAAAAAAATCGATCAATCAATCAAGAACAAAATTGTGTATTGCTACGATTACTTACTACTGTTCAGGAAGTGTCAGTGGGTGTAATAATTAAAGATAATAGGGGCGCCTGGGTGGCTTAGTCGGTTAATTGACTCTTGATTTCGGCTCATGTCAGGATCTCACAGCTTGTGAGTTTGAGCTCCCTTTGGGCTCTGTGCTCACCGTGTGGAGCCTTCTTGGGATTCTCTCTCCCCTCTCCCCCCCTCCCCCGCCCCTCCCCGCCCCTGCTCAAAATAAATAAATAAATTTTTAAATATTAAAAAACAAAAGAAAGTACATTAGTGTAACCAATGACAAAATGTAAAAAGATCAGCCCTTTAATAAGTCTTCATAACTAATTAGACAATGTAATAGAAGAAAAAGATCCCATTCACAGTAGCAACAAAACCCATAAATGTCTACGAATAAACTTTTAGAAATGTTCAGGACTTATATGGAGAAATCTCTAAAATGATCTTCTCAGAGGAGAGGTCTCAAAATTATAAAGTTGAAAATTGTCCAACATCAACAAATTCCCAATAGAAATCCCAATGAGATTAGTCACCTTTGGTTGCCTTACCAATAGCCATTGCTCTTCTTTATGGCTAAGAGTATCTAGTATGTGGAAGGATGCTCAATACTAAGATTTTGGATGACTTCGCCTTCCTCTGTATTCTTTTGTATATTATTTGAACTTTCGGTTTGAATTTATTTTGACTTTATGATGGTAATTTAAAAATTGTAACAAAAATATAAAATGCCTTGGAATCAGTTTAACAAGAAAAATGCAAATCCTATATAAAGGAAACTTTAAGATATCAAAGAAGGATGCAAAACAGAAAAGCATACTATTGGAAGACTCAATATCTTTTTTTTTTTCAACGTTTATTTATTTTTGGGACAGAGAGAGACACAGCATGAACGGGGGGGGGGGGGGCAGAGAGAGTGGGAGACACAGAATCAGAAACAGGCTCCAGGCTTTGAGCCATCAGCCCAGAGCCTGACGCGGGGCTCGAACTCACAGACCGCGAGATCGTGACCTGGCTGAAGTCGGACGCTTAACCGACTGCGCCACCCAGGCGCCCCTGGAAGACTCAATATCTTAAAGATGTTGCTTTTCCATTAGTTGATCTTTAATATAACATGATCTCAGTAAAATTGACAGCAAGATTTTTTGGGGAACGGAACAAGCTAGTTCTTATGTTTATATGATAAAATTAAAAACCATTAAGAGCCAGGAAAACCCTGAAATAATAAATCCTGAATTGACCAGATATTAAAACATACTATAAAACTACAGTAATTACAAAGTACTTGTACAATAAGATGGGTCAATGGAATAGAATAGTTTTATCAGTGCCTTAGTTTCCTATTGCTGCTGTAACAAATTACCACAAATTTAGTGGCTTGATATAATGAAAATGTATTATCTTACAGTTATGCAGGTCAGAATTCCTAAATGGGTTTCACCAGGCTAAAATTGAGGTCTTGGCAGAATTGTGTCTCTTCTGGAGGTCCTAGGACAAAACCTTACCTTCTCCAGGTTCTAGAGGCATCTGCATTCTTTTTTTTTTTTTCAACATTTAATTTTGAGAGACAGAGCGTTAGCAGGGGAGGGTTAGAGAAAGAGGGAGGCACAGCACCCAAAGCAGCTCCAGGCACTAAGCTGTCAGCACAGAGTCCGATGCAGGGTTTGAACTCAAAAGCCATAAGATCATGACCTGAGCCAAAGTCAGAGGCTTAACTGACTGAGCCACCCAGGGACCACATGGGGCATCTGCATTTTGAGTCACCTTACCAGCAGTACTGTCAGACAGTGTGTGCACTAAAGTCACCAATCATTCTGATCTCTACTTCCGTGATCGCATCTCCTTCTTTGACTCTTGACATTCTGCTTTCCTCTTACAGAAAATCCTTGTGATGACATTGGGCCTACCCAGCTGATCCAGAATAGTCTCCCCATGTCAAGATCCTTCAAAACCTCTGCAAA